ATAACATCCACACCTTTTGATGTCCATATCATGGGATCAAAATCAATAACACAATCATATCAACCATACACCATAAAATAATCACAAGAACAAAAAAAGGAAGCCCATATATAGCCAAAGTAGAGGTAATCAAACACATTCAGAAAACCAATCTATAGGATCTGCTCTTGAGAGGAGCCATTAGTAAAAAAGTTTTCAAAGTTTTCAACAAGTTCATAGTTCCAGGGAAATACCCAAAGCCTTAAAAAGCTATATCAACAATATCTGATTTATTACATATAATATATGGATTGATAGATGCAGCCACCTACAACTATGGAAAAAAGCACAAGGCATTACAAGAAAAGACAAAAGAAAAAAGGAAAAGAAATTAAGAAGAACAAACTCCTGGATCTACTATCTATACTGCACCCAGAAATTCCCATAGAAATATTGAAAGCCATTATTCAAGGTTTAACAATAATATAAGATATCTTTAACTACATACCCTAATGGCACCTAGGCATGTTAGTATCTCTTATAAAGGACAACAAGCCACAATGGGTATAATATTACCTAGTAAATTGTACCAATTGGTTTTTTGTTTTGCTATATATAGAAACAGTCTACAAAATTGCTTTGTAAATAAGAGTATATGTAATGCATACAATCAATAAAATAGGCAAAGTTGTATATGAAAAAAAAAATTATTATTATAATAAAACTCATTGCTAGATTAGCCTATTTCGCTGTTTATAACTGTGTATTTGACTATCTGGCCTCTAGCTGGGTCTGCCTCACTTACAAAGTGGTAGCAGGTTTACTTAGAGAAAACTGTGATAGGTTATTATTAATCTGCATGTATATAGAAATATATAGTTTGTATAAGATAATTGATGTACTGCTCTAAAGAATTTTATTATCCAAGATGTTAAGGTAATTTATAATAAAATGTGTACACATCTAATACCAGTTGCAGTTAAAAAAAAATAAAAATAAATATTATTATAATATATAGATATAATTAATAGAAGCTTATTTATATTCAAAAACTAATTTTTTTAATACTAGTTCTCTCTTAGCTTTATTAAATATATTTTATAATATGAATGCATATAAAAAAATAATTATAATTAATAAAACTGATCTATGAGTCTATAGTATAGTAGTAGTACTCCCAAATTGCAATTTTAAGATCCAAGTAAAAAATACCATATCACAATAAAATTCAGTACCCCATTGAATAATAGTAAAATGACATTAGGCATAGTCTTGATTATCTTACTAAATAATTGAAATAGAAGAATCTGTCACTATATGACATCACTTGTAACTAATCTTTATCAGATCAGGCTGGTCTATAGATGTTATGAGATGATTAATATCTTATTATTATTCTGATAAGGTAAAAAAGGATAGAATTGATCTTACAATCAACTAGAATAAAGACTGGATTGATGCCAGGTATCTTGACAATCTTATTGATTGAAGAAGTTATCACAAGTTAAGAAGATTGTAGTTCTAAAGAGAGTAAATAGTGTACTAGTGATATGCATAAAAAGTATAGACAAAAAATATAAAACTTATCATTGAGAGATCTTGGTGAGAGAAAAAATCTGTAGACCATATCAAAGTCCCAAATTTGGAAACAAGCTAGAACAAACAAAACAGTCTAATAACTAAATTACTTTATAAAATTGGTTTAGAAAAAATTAAGAGAGTATTATGTAGTTTCTCTTAACAGACTAGTTAATATATATAGTATATTTAACATATATAAATAATTATATACAGTATATAACATTATTTTGAAGTAAATAAAAATTACAGATACCACTTAGAATATATGAAGCTATTGTAAAAATGCCAGAAATGACATTAATCATCTCAAGATCCTATTAGTCTAATGTAAAATCCATCTTTTCTCAAATTACTGTACTCATAGAAGATATTGAGAGACTTTGGTTATTTGCATCAGCTATCAAAGTTATTAGAAGAATGGAACTCATTTAGCTTGAGATTTTGAGAAAGCACAGTATCTATAATAGGAACCATTTGGGTGAACACATTTGAAAAAAACCTAAGGTCTCATTTAATCAAGGAAAATCTTTATATATAATCTTTAAAGAATGATTAAGAATGATCATTTGAAAGACTCAGGTTGCAACTAGGTTTACCAAGAATTACTGAGAGCTCTACTTTAGATCATATAGATATTGGAGTATTAAAGAATCTAACATCTGAAAGAAACTAAACATGGAAAGTATATTATACAAGATTTGAATATATTCCATGTTAGGATCTAATTACATTCAAAGGAAATATATTATAAAAATATCTTAAAAATAGAACAATGATAGTTTCTAGTGACTTTTTAGAATATTGGATGTCTAGGTATAGCAGGGCAGGTTGACAAAGATAGTATTTATATATAGTTAGTGGATAAAATCAGATTATATTGAAAGAAAGAGCAGTGTAGCTAAATAATTATAAGTATAATTTCTTGTAATCTAATTTGTACTTCCAAAAATTTCAATTAATAAAGTTTAGTCAATACAACTAGTTAAAAAAAATAAAAAAAATATTAATAAAATTAAACAATATAGTTATTAAAATCAATTTCAGATATATTGTTATCCTTAAATAAAAAAAAAAAAAAAACTATTAGTGCTAGTAAAAAATTTTTGCAAAAGAGGGGACTAAAGAAGTGAATAAAACAATTAGTCTATATTATTTTTTACTATACAATTTATATATAGGAAGAAAATTTTATTCAAAATATTTATTAAATCTAGTGAAAACATTGAATATCTATTTATATATAAAAATAAAAATATTAGTATATGATTTGATTCTATTTCATATCTTTCAATTATTCTTATATAATATCAATTATATTTCAGATGTCTTTATCTAGAATCACTTAAAAATATAAGAATATTAGCCATTACCTTTGATAGTCAACTTATACTTTCTTGTAAAAGCTCTTAAAATATCATTATATACAGTATCATATATAGAAATTAGATACTAATGCTCAATAGAAAAAAAAATCTTTAAAATAAACTACAAAGTCACTTTTTTGAGAAATATAAGGGAAGAAAAAAGAATTAAATTATATAAATAAAAAAATATTGGAAATAATATCACATGTATTAATACTGATAAGCAAATTTATAAACTATTTTTTTTTAATTTTTGTCATTGAGCAATGTAATAAAGCTATTATTTATATACTTTATTCTCTATATCCTAAAAGTTAAAATAAGAAATAATTGGAGAAACTAGTACTCTTATTAACACTTTTTGAAACAGATCTAAATATGGTAGAATATGAATATAGTTAATAAGAACTTGTTTATATCTTGTTACCAATGTGTTTTATGTTAATCAATTAGATATCAAATGAGACTATGCTATCAAAAATTCAGGATTAAATCGAAATAGATAAAATTTACCCAAAAAACTGTGAAAAATAGTAAGCACTCTAAGAGAGTTAAGGAAATAGATCCAAAGATGAAAAAATAATTTTTTTTTTATCAAAAATTCTCTATTTTCTTTTTATTTTCAGCTTTGAGAAATGGTACTCTATTAGTAGGGTTTTTTTCTTTTTGAAACCTTATCTTTAACAGAAGAAATATATATTTGAGTCTATTTAGACCATTAAAAACTCAATTTTTTGTTTAAAGGAGTTTATAAACAAGTAAAGAAGGCTAATAATGACTTTTGGAGACAAGCTTCAGGTTGGTTTAAGGAAAGTGTGAAGATTTTGTTAGCAAAGAAGTATGCAACTTCTTGTAAACATCTTTTTTGTATGTTTTCAAAGGATCAGAGAAAAAAAAGATTTAATAATATTCTAAAACTAACATATTTTACATTAATCAATTAACTTTTTAGAAAATTTATCTATTTTAGTTTAATCTTAAATCTTTAAATAGTACAATTTTTATCAAAGTCATGAAAATAAAAATTCTAAAAGAATATAAATAGTTAACAAAGAAAAAAAAATAAATTTTCCATTGTAAAAAACTTTTATAAATGATTCATTTTAAAGTTAAAAAAATTTAAAATACTTTATAGTTGATTTTTTTTCTTTTTAGAAACTTTTTTATTATTTGATAATAAAAATGCTTATTTCGCAAAAAGAGTCTTTTGAAATAATAGAATGATTAAAATTATAATAATGATAAAATGATAAAATGATAAAACCAAAAATCACGATTAAATTATTAAAGGTGATTGTTTAATGGTCTAACAATTTTAAAATATTACATATACTTTGTATTATATTAATAAAAATTCGTTTTAAACAATGTCGATTTAACCAATGTTTTTTTTAAAACAATAACTTGAAAACTTTATTCATTGTAAGTGACTTTGATAAATACTCTAATTAGTCCAAGGACCATACTGTATTCCGGCCGCCCGCTCTTCGGTTGAGTTGATGGTCAGCCAATCAGCAATCAGTATAGCTGATTATTTGAAATTTAGCATTTTCCTAGTAATAATAGTGAGAATACAATACGAAATATATATAGATAATTATAAACAAGGTTTTTTCGTGACCAGCTGACTGTGGATTATATCAAAATTGGGTTTTTCGTGACCAGTCTGACTGAGGATTATATAAAAATAAGATTGTCTGACTGTGAGTGATATAAAAATAAGGTTTCTCGTGACTTTCTGTTACTAAATGTGCACTGTTTCCAAAAGCGGGATTAGGTAGAAGAGAACAATTCCGGTACGTCATTGATTTTCCTTAGCCGAAGCAAATCACTAGGATGCAGGTGTGCGAAAATGCTATTGTGACCCAATTAGGAAATTCGAAAACAAGAATATTTCGAATGTAAAATCAATCTTGTCAATGATTTACGTACTTTCCTCTTTCGAGTTGAGAACAATCTCACGGTAGTCTTTGTATATATATATGGTTTCTTTAATGAAATGCCACTTCGTGACACTTCAAAAAAGTTATAAATACAAGTGTGTGCTCACTATTGATAACAAAATATAGGAAAACAATGATTAAAATCCTTGCTGCCCTCGTCGTCTTCATTTTTGTGGTGGCGCGCTTGAAAAAACGAAAAACACCCATCTCAGTTCTCGTCACCGACCCATACGAGGCGAAACAAATACTCCGCAACAGCGATATAACTTCCCGTGCCATACCGAACCAGAGGTTGAGAAAGTCTTTTGACATATCCAATCCGTTCACTAACTCAAACGACGAATATCGTCAGAAATTTCGGAACGTCATTATAAACAGCATCGGCTTGAAGGAAGACGGATGGAAGAGGCTTGCAAAATTAGCACTCGAGACGGTAAATTATCAGAAATACAAGGAAAAGGATACAGTTGAGCTCGTTCCCTGGATTCAAAACATCGCCCTGAATGTTATACTACGTGGTTATATGGGTTTCGACGCGAATATCCATGGGATTGTTGACGATATCCCGAAACTTATAAACGACATTTGGATTAAATCAAAAGAATTCAACAGCAACAGGCAGTCAATCTCGAAGTCAAAATGTTTGCTCATGAATCTTCTCCACAAAGCATCCTTGCAACAAAGCGAAGAAAAGGGCATCGGCCATGCTCCCAATGTGTTACAAGAAATCTCGAAAATTGCGCAAAAACATTTAGACAATGTTCGAAGTTTCACACAACCCTCTCCTCGGATCGATGAGCCCACGGCGGATGAACTGAAATCACCGTTAAATATCTTGCTTCCGGCATATGAAACAATGTGGAGAGTCCTGTTATATGCCGTCTTGGAAATAAAAGTGAGAGGGTTGTTGAAAAGCAGAAATGATGAAAGGAAGGTCAAAAATAATTTCCTTAAGCGCCTGGATACCGAGGCCAAAGATTTACTCAGAAATCCGCATCGCGCCTCAAAAAACAATTCATTAAACCTCATTGTGAAAGAAACATTAAGATTATATCCGGCAACACGTCACATACATCGGGAGAAGGACGGGTGGAAGTACATAATAGATGTAGAGGCTATTCATCGTAATCCTACGGCTTGGGGAAGCGACGCTTCTCGCTTCAATCCTGAGCGATTCAAAGATTTTTCACAAAATGATCACTATATCCCATTTTCGGTTGGACCAATGCAATGTGTAGCAACCAAATTTGCGCCAACCTTGGCCGCCATTCTAATTGCGTCGGTCATATCTTCCGTTGATATTCTGGATATTGTGGGTAACAACACGGTTTCTAAATATCAAGCGAATCCCGATATTCCATTTGAGAACAGTCGCCGGTCCTTTGAGAATACCTTTGTAAGAATTGTAACACGATCGTCGTGATTGAACGGTTGCGAGGATGTGAATATTTCCACGAACAATTTAGACAGAAACTTTTCTTTCGGACTAACATAAACTTTAAATTATTTCATAAATTGTATCATTTCACTTATGCACAGTACAATATAACATAGTATGCAGTATTACATATCAACATACATTATAACTGATCATGTATGGTGTCATAGCACCGCAATAACCCAAGTAAATTAAATAAATAAATAAAGATAAGATTGTATATTTTTTTTTTTAAAAAAAAAATTCCCCATGCAGATTTCAACATTGAATTCATTTATTATTTTTTTTTTTTTAAAAAAAAGGACGCTGTACAAATAGTAGAGGCACCCTTTACAAGATAAATAGGGTCCTATCTCGTGCTAAGAGTGCAGCACACAACACTCAAACTTCGTCGATTAAACTTGTATCGCAGTTTTTAATTATTTCATTATAGGATTTTCTCATCTGTCATTATTTATCAATTGTTAAATGTTTTCACGAGCAAGAGTAAGCGATGTCTTGAAAGGGTGCATCGGGAACCATTTACCTCCTCCTCGTACAATAATCCGTTATCGAGAAATCTGCAAAAAGAAATTGCGTTTTCACACCATCTTTTTGCTTTGGCAAAATCATTGGATCTAAAATTTGTCGTCACATCAAGTTTTTCCGTGTGAGAGAAATAATAGGACATTCAAACAACAGGTTACATACGAATAACAATCGATTCCGCAGTTCCACGAGTTTACCATCAACCATTGAACTTCTTCGTCAGGATATTTTCCCTGATCAAAATAAAATATAAATTAAAATTAAAATTAAAGCTCAGAGTTCATCAAATTAGAGATCTCAGGATAATGGTTAACAGAGATCAATGCCTTTGAACATTCTTGACTTAGAATATCTAACGCCTGGTCAAAGTATTGTGCAGCTGACGACTTATCATTAACCATCGCGGTCATAATTAGCATTCGAAACCATCTTGAAAATTTCTCAATATCAACTTGTTTTCGTCTCATTATCGAGTTCAACAGAACCTGATAAAAAGCGAGCGTGAGTGATGGCATAATTTTCATTTTCATTTTTTTTTTCATTTTTCCACTAGAACATACCTGCAATGTTGAAAACAAAACTAAGAAAAAACAAAGAAAAGTTGTTCTATTCATGACCGCAATAGTTATTGTATACAAAAATCCCATGACCTTCTACCTGTACTCGGGCACTCATTCTCATGGATCAACAATTCCGCCATGCGCTCGAAAATTTTCGGTGGCACTTCAAAATCATGTGCCTCGGCTGCCTGAAATTTTCGGGAATGATGTTGATAATGCGGTCCCCAAAAATGAGAGAATGCATGCCGAACATAATTACATCAAGAACTTTTTGCAATTCATTCCAAAGTCCCAACTTCACTTTTGCCTCGAACTCAAATAGGATGACAAGTATCGCGTCACTTTGCGTCGACGTTTGGTTGTCTTCAGCATCGTCCCTTTTTCGCTTGCCCAATACTTTTTTTAATTTTTTGTATTGATCAATGTTTTCCAGCGCTGACTGCAGTAAATCTCTCTTTAAAAAAAAAGAAGAAGAAGAAGAAAAGTAAAAAAGCGATCTCAGATAAAATCATGCGTCCAATGACCCATTTTGGTGAATCTACCCTCTGAGATAACGATTCTTGTCTCCGTGCAAGAAACAGTTTACCGCACAGGGAGGCGAAGATGGTGAATTTTTTTTGGTTCGTGTGCTCGAGTGTTTCTTCCGGATACTCGCAGAGAAACTGTGCATTCGGGTGTATTATTAGGAGCACCGTATCTTCTTCAATTAAAAGCAATTTCCCTGAAATTAACCCAAACCTTGTATACGATATCGAATAATCGAATGGCAAACGGGTCGCTACCTTCGTCCGCTTGCTGGCAAAATTCCAAACCCATATTCCACGCTGTAGTTTAAGGAATAGACGCTTTTATGAGATTCCCGAGCAGACTTGATATGTTTAGCACATGACCATGTAAACTTAACCAACCGGTCTTGTAAAACCACTCGAGATCTTTCAAAGGCGTCTTGGTCGGTTTTAATGTATTTTCGTTCCCATCGTTCTGCTGGACGACCTTATCGCTTTTGTTCGACTCAATGAGACTAAAGGCTATCGTTTAAAAGATATTTCGTTCGGCCATGCGGTGAATGGGTTTCTTTCTTTCATTTCATTTTTTGATATGCGATATATACTTACCAATCTCAAAGTAACCACATATACAATCTTTTAGTGATACCCTAAAAGTGAGACGAACGGAAGAGCTCAATAGTTTGAGATCCTCATGCGTACAATAAAAAATAAAGTTCAAGAAAAAACTGCAGGTTAACCTTTCGGATTCGTTTCCGTGAAGAAGTGAGCCATGCGTCATTCGTATTAAGCATCTGAGAATATTTGTCAGTCAATGTGTTAAAATGTTTCGAAAAACATGGAATGCTTGCCTGAGTAAAACAAACACATCTATGTGAGCAACATCTTCACCGCTCTTATGCTTGGATAGGATTTCCTTCAACGCCTCGATGAGAATCGTCTTGTGACCTTGCTGGTAGGCTTCGTTGGCGGCCATTGCGAGCATATCTCCATGGAAACCGTCTCCTTTGCACATGTCATGTAAATACTGTATCGCTAAATAGATTTTGCGCATTTGGCAGTGAAAGATTGAAGGCCGAAGACAACCGAGATTTTTTTTTTAGTTTACATCATTTTCACTCACCTTGATCCATCTGCCTTCTCTCCATGGCGATATGATACAAGATATAAAAGTTTGCCGCCGAATTGTGTTCGTACGTTTGAGCCTGCTGAACGGCATCAATTGCGTCCGCGAGCAAATGCACTTCAAGATAACACAACGCAATTTTCCTTTGCATAACAAGCTCATTAATATATTGAAATCATAAACATATTGAAATCAATAACCGAAGACCCACCTTTGCAAAATCGCCGCATTACGACCTTCCGCTTGACCCGCCGCCATCCACTTATACGCAACAAAGTACCACTTTCTTGCAAGATCGTATTGTTTATTCTAGAATTGTAACATCGACATCCGAATAAGTATATACATGCACCCAGTATTTTTCCTTGAAAATGGTAACATCTCCGTCTCACCGCATAATTTCTGTCGCCATTTTGCCAGAGTATCTAGTGCCCGAAAATTTTTTACATTGATTGAGTCAGGTCAGATTCTTTCCGGTCGAAGCAAAATGAAGAAAGTGTGTGGTGTGGTGTATGAGGCATACCATCTGACAAGCTACTTTTGTCTTGTGACTGATCACAATTCCGTGTCGTTGTTCGACTAAAGTGCATGCAAATTGTCGCTGAAATTTACATCACATGTATGATGCTTATCGATGATAAATGAATCATGGTACATACATCCAAGTGTTACCTCAATACTCTTAATGGCATCGTTGAGTTCAAAATCCGCCGATTCAATGCTCCCCAGGATATTGAATTTTGAGATAATAGCCTTTTCGATATAATCGCTATTTCTTGTGTCCGAGAGTTTTTCTTCGATGAGAATGTCCATTCCTCTGAGAGCCATCATCACGCTACAATTGAAAATTAATTGTACACACGCTTGAGGCAACAGTAATTTGCAGGTGGGCATAACGAATCACGCACACAGATCCCTTACTTTATTTCGCTAGCGACGTGCGCAACGTTCAGAAGACTAGATAAAATTAGATGACCAATTTAACGTCATGTTAAGCTGCAATTCGCCCACCCGTTAACCAAAGGTGAGATTGGATACCCACTCACACTCTTAGATTTTCTTTCGTCACCCGAGCCGTTCTCATCAGTTGGATATACACTTTCGGAAAATTCGTGCAATGAATAATTTATCGCGATCACAGATTTTCGTTTATTTTGTTGTTGCAGTACAAACCTTCTTCAAACGGTATTGGGTTCAAGTTCCTTTGCTTCATGATCTTGAGCTTTAGTGAGCTCGCCAAAACATCGTTAGGATTTTCCTAGTGTCGACAAAGACGAGAACAATCAGCACGAGTATGATGTAGCGTCACACCACCTCATGTATCGCATACCTCTAAGCACAAATTCACAGCGTTTTCGGCAAGATCCATATTGGATTCATCGTGCACAGAGTTCTTTAAATAACATGCGGCTACATGATGTGTTAATGATGATGAGCCGGTGAACAGGAAAAAAAAAAATGATAACCTTGATCTAGAATATTAACTTACCCAGTGCGTTCAGTGTGCTCGTCTATTCACAGCATATTGTAAAGATAAACGAATGCATTACAAGTTTAATACGAATGCCCAAGACTGTGGGATTAACATACCAATATTTTTGTTCTCTCGGAATTTGTTTGCGACATGCCATCGGATATCAGTTCGTGGCACTTTCTTAACCACTTTATTGCCTCGCTTACTTTTCCTTCGCGAGATGCCTGATTGCCAATTGTGAAACATACTTGGCACAAAATATCGATCTAAATGGAATGCAAATTTACGTCTGTAAACGAGATGCGTAAATACATGGTAAAAGAAAAAAAGAGGTCATCCATCACCTCTTTGGTCGTGACATTGTCCAAGTACTTTTTTTCTATAAGGACATCAATCAATTTTAGTTGCCTTCAGCAAAATTAAAGCTAAAGAGTGGCCTGCACGTGGTGCAGAATAAATTACCGGTTGCATGCTGAATCATCAAGTTGGCAACATGACCATTTGCCAATTTCCAAGCCTGCTCGAATTGATAAAACAATATTAGAATGATTATGGTTGTTGTAAGACTCAGCGTTCCAACTTACTGCTTCTGCGCGATATGCGTAGTATGTAACCAATGCGGTTGATCTTGAATGTTGTTCCTTTGCCGAATTCTCTTGCCATGAAAGCATCGTGTCTTCCAACTGTAATCCAATCGAGTTTATGATTAGTGCTTGATAAATTAAGCGTCACTTCACATTCCGCAAGATTCGAAGATTTACCGAAGTGACTGAACGCAGTAACTCGTCGGCCTTGTCGCTTCTTCCGCAATCTACGAGAACGAACGCATTGAATTACGTGTCTCGCTTGGCATTCTCAGGGACAAAAGATCCTTCCACACTTACCCAACCAAGACTTTCCAACTTTATTGGCTAGTGCGAGTAATTTCACCGCGGCTGTGGATTTTAAAGGATAGACGAATGAGCATCTTGAGTGTTGAATGAAAAGTCGTATGAAAAGGATTTTTACATTTCGCCTCGATCCCCGCGCTCATTTCCGCTCCAGCTTTGACCATGAAAAATCCAACCTGACGAACTTTTTAAAATGATCAATGAATCATCACTTTTTTATTTTAATTTTAATTTTTTTTCTTTTCTAGCTCAAGTCCGAGATCGACAAACTCACATAATGCTACCAGCTCGTCGCCAGTTCCGATTCCGTCAGAAACATGACTTGCTCTTAAGGTGATTGACGAGTTCCATATTCCAACGCCTAACAGCGAGTCGAGTTTGATTCCCGAGTTAGTTCATCATGGCCAAATTTCCGGATTATCACAAATTTTTCATTCCTACCGAGTTCATCTATCTCATCGGCCAACGCATAATAACGAGCCGATTGTTGCAAACTTGAGAATTTTTCCACATCGCACTGAATCTCTTTCAGTGAATCTTGTATACCCTTCGAATCCAATACATCCTTGTTTAACTTTTCATGGACATCTTTTACAAGGGCTTTCAAAAACGCATCGGGGGGAGGGGACAAGGTCGTTAAGATGATGACAGGCCAAAGGAGTCGAATGAATAAACAGAAGCGCCATTTGTTATTACCAGATATAGCATCAAGGTGCTTTCTCAGTCTTGCGACTACGACCTGTGAATTTATTTGTTCGCCAGCCTGGTCCCCACTTCGTAAGGAAAATGATACGTCACCAGAGTTGGCAGTTGAGGGAGGTGGGTTAATACTTAAAAATAAGGGCGCGTCGTTGGCGGTGTTGTCTGACATTTCGAAAGGATTTCCTAAGGAAAATATTCGTTCGTGAGCCTGGCAACTGCTTTACCGCGATCTGCCGCGTGATTTATAATGCAAACTTCAGACATCTGAGTAGTATGCAGTGCGGTAATTAAAATAGACTGAGGATAATTGGAATATTCGTTTTTAGAATGATCTTATTACATTGTAATCTTTATTTTCATCAAAAGGAACAATTACATAAAATTTTCCTATCTTTTTTTTTTTTTTTTTTTTTTTTTTTTTTTTTTACAAATTGCGTACATTTTTTTTATGACAAGATTTCGTAAAGCTTCATAATACTTCTGGTGAGCACTCGAATCCCTTGGAAAAGCAGTGACGGAGTATTTCGAGAGCAAATGTACAGTACATGGTGGATCTCAAGACTAATTAATTAATATATTTTGGAGAAAATATGCTTATTTGTTTTAAGCGATCCTTTCGTGTTTCGGATAAAAGTAGTGAGGCGACAAGAAAATCTCAAATGTAAATTGAATCGCGGGATAATGTTTCAAACTTTGGAAAACTTGAGTTCAGAAATTGTATCCTTGCTTCTGTGACAATCGGATGTAACTTTTCACATCAAAGATTAGAACAGTATCCATTGGAATGAAATCCGGCGGAACATCCAAATGTGAGATTTTAATGGTTATTTCTCGAGCAAACTAGGTAATCTGGACGTGACGCATGAGATAATGTATCTACGAATATCCTTTTCAACAAAATTCCTTAAAAGTACCGAGGCAACCGAGAATTCACCGTTCATCGAATATAAACGCATTTTCTCACGTGGCCAAAGGTGTAATGAACTATCAAAATAAGGTCAGTTTAAACTTTTCAACATTCTCGGCGATTTCGTCGGGCGAACATTGCAAATAAGTTGAAATGACCGATGCAAACCCATTATTTTTTCTACATCCATTTGCAAATGAAAATATTCGCTTTTACTGTATCTGAACGAGAATTTCTAAGATTATTATATTACAGTAGGTCATGACAGGCTTGCTGCGGGAAAAAAAAATCAGAAAACCGACAAAAAATTTTTTATTTGTCTATTTTTTTTTTTTTTTTTTTTTTGCGCTCGAAATCTTTTCGATTGCCTCGGGCAAAGGTAGAAAGAAAAAATATCAATTGAACCATTGAATTTTGATCTTTTAATCCTGATGGAAAAAAGAAATTATCGGTATAAAAGACATGTCACGATACGAGAAGACCTTTATTATTCGGCGTACAAATTTATGGACTGTCTATAGCGTAGACGTGGCCTAGAGAAAAAAGTATTAAGATTGAAAAAAAAGATGTTGTCACATACTATAACAATAATAATTAATTTTAATTAATCATATACAAAAAGATTTTTTTTTTTTTCGCTCTCACTCTCTCACTCACTCACACTCTTTTTTTTTTTTTTTTTTTACAAGATATTGTGAAATCAAATTCTTACGTCCAAAATCTCATGATTCCAATAGTAAACTTTTTTCATCTAAATCTTCGCATTGTCTAATTTGGACTCGTTCCAATCGAGCTGTGCTTAAAAAAGTGGCAAAAGTGGTAAATCTGGATCATCAGAGTTCACCGTTGGAATGTACGATCTTATCATATTGGCCACTTCACCGCCATCAAAGCTCGAGAACGACATAAAGGTACTCCCACTTTATCTTTCATTGTGCTTTCTAATAACTTGCCAGGATAAGAATTGTATTTCACGTGCGCACATTAGAAAAAGTATGATGACCCGGCAATGCTTTTGCTTCACGGAGTGCCCAGATCTTTGTTACCAATATCTGGGAAACCAGCCATGAATTGGTGGTTTGATGAATTGAAAAGTAGAATCGATGGAAATGTTTATCTCGTTACCAACGCCTGCAAGTAACTGCATATTTCTTGAAAATAGGATGCGTAAAGTTATCATGACAACAACGTTCAAGATCTTTCTTTCTTTTTTTTTTTTTTCATGATCCATCAAGTTATTCTAAATATTTGAGATGGGCTGATTACAACTGCATCCCGAGACCTAATATCCTCAATAATGGTATCACTAGTTATGAAGAAAAGTAAGCTTGAAAGTAAATTTTGAATCGCTGATTTCAACTGAACAGCCTTAATCGATACAACGTGCGGTCTATTATTCTTTAAAGTCAGAGCTTTTTATCTGATATCGAACTAGTTAATCGAGTCAAAGGT